CTTCCCCACACTACCCCCAGACCCACCGGGACCACCTTCCTGGCTCCCCCAAAACAAGCCCTTCTCCCCGGGGCTGCTCACCCAGGAGCAGATAACACCCCCACCCCGCCCCCTCTGATCTCCCGGTGAAACCCTACCCCTGCGATAAGGATCGGCCGAAGGATTTCCTGGGTCAGGAGAACAGACACCGCCGGCCACGGGGGCCGTCCTGGCACCAAATGAAAACAGAGCAGGCCTCTCCAGCACAATTAGGTACAAATTTCCAAATGGCGGGACCTGGGCTGCCCTCCACGCCCCACACACACCGCTTTCCAGAGAGAGATCTTCCCCCACCCCTGCTGCCTCCAGCCCTCCTGGTTCAGTCCAGAGGCCGATAGCAGCGTGGTTCCCACTCGGGACACGTGTCCTCCTGGACCGGCCCAGCCCTTTCGGGCCCACCCCCCGGGCAAGTCCACCCAGCACCCCGTTCCCCTTCACCAGCCACCCCGTCCCCGACCGGTGCCCGGTCCAGACAACAGAGCGAGTCCTGCCCGCCGCGCACACAAACGTGTCTGCGGGGGCTGGGCTCCAGGGCCTAAGGGCCGGCCCCGAAACAGTCCCCAAACACCACACGTGTCTGTCCTGGGCGCACCTTTTTACAGCCTCGTGAAAACAGGAGACAGGCCTCCCGCCACCAGGAAACCACAGCCGCCGGCAGGAGTGGGGTTGTTCCCCGGGACGCAGAGGGACCCCCGCCCGAGCCACCGCCCGGCCTGCACCCAGGCCCTGTCCTCCAGGGCTGAGCCCGGGGCCCGGGACGGGGACAGGCCCGGAGGCGCACCTGGCCGGCCCGCGCCCTCGGTGGCTGAACTCTGGGTGACACACGCGGCAAGTCCCTTAAGGCAACACCACCGCGGGGAGTGCAGCCCGCAGCGGCGGAGAAAGTGGTGATTGGAAGAGAAACTCCTGACTCATGCGCCTCGGCGTTTATGGCCCGGGATTGGATTCTGACCTTTCGGTGCGCTCCTCGGGGCGGCCGAGCGCGGGAGGCGGCGGCCCGAGCGCAGGGGCCCGCGGCGCGCGCCCTCCCCGCGCCCTCCCCGCGCCAGGGCAGGGGCGCGATTTACCTACGGAGTCTATCTCCAGGAGCCGCTGCAGGTCCCGGATGCTGTGGATCTGACTGTGCGCCAGCCGCTCGATCACCTCGCGGGGGATCTCGGCCTCCTGCAAGCAGAACCCCACGGTCAGCCCGGCGGCCCCCGCCCCACCCGCCCCCGGCCCCCGGCCCCGGCCCCACGGGACCACCTCGCCGCACGAGGCCGCCCGACCCCCACCCTGGCCGTGGAGCCTAGGGAGACCCCCACATTACGTCCCCACCCGTGTCTGCCCTCTGCAAAAAAAAAAAAAAAATCCCGCCCCGCCTTTACATTTTCAAACCGAAGCCCCCCACCCCACCCCACCCACCCCGGCCCCTCCGCGGGGTGTCCGTTCCGGCGGCCTGGGTGCCGGGCCCGGAGTTTCTGGTTCGGAGGGAAACCAACATGCAGAAGCTCAAGTTGAAATGCGTCACGGATGGGCGACGGGAGCCGGCAGCCCTGACACTCACCCAGCCGCCGGGGCTGGGGCTTCCCCGGACCCGCCGCCCCGCGGGGGAGGGTCTGCGGCCCCGCGCGCAGACACCCACCCGACACCCACCCGCCCCGGCCCCCCGGCGCCCAGAGGACGCCCCGAACCGCCGGGGCCGCGGGAGCTGCAGGGCCGGGAGGGTTAAACCTCCACCCCGGCGGCTCCGGGTCCCTCCCAGACAGCCCCGCCGCCGGCCTCCCTCCGTCCCGGCTTTTCCAGGGCCTGGGGCTCCGGGGCTCCGGGGGCTCCAGCACCAAGTTCCCACGGGGGCCGGGAGGGTGGTTTGCCACAGGGGGCTCCGGGGACTCGGGGTGGAGACCGGGGCGCGGGCGGGGGGACGCGGGCCCGGCTCGGCCACCTGTAAGCAGGCCCGGCGGCGGGACTGCGCCGGCCCCGCCGCTCCGCCGGCTCGGCCCCGGGGACCCGGCGCTGCGGCTCCGCGCCGCCCGCCGGACCCCCACCTGCTTCCCGGCCGCTCTCCCCGCCCCCGTCCCCGGCTCCACCGGCTCCCACACCCCCCTCCCCGGTCCCCGCACCCCGGCCCGCACTGCCCGCCGCGCCCGGTCCCTCCGGAGAGACGCCCGCGCCCCGAAGTTTCTCCCGCTCGTCCCCGGGCCCGCGCGTCCCTCCGCGGCGGGGCGACGCCACACGCTGAACTCCCCGCGCGCTCGGGCGGAACGCAGACCCACCAGTTGGGAGAATTTAAAACCCGAGCCCCCGCAGAGCCCAACGCGCCCCGCAGACCGAGCCGGGCGCCGGGGCGCCGGGCCGCGGGCGGCGGCGGCGGGGGGCGTGCGCCGGCGGCGGGGTCCGGGCGGGCGGGGGCACCCACCTCGGCCAGGGCATGGGCGAGGCATCCGCAGCCGAGCAGCAGCAGGCAAGCCCAGGTCCTCATCGCGGCCCGAGGCGCAGGCGGCGCGGCGGGGAGGCGAGGCCGCGGGGCGGGCGCTGCAGCCGGGCTCCTGTGGCGGCGAGACCCGGGACCATCCCTCAGGAGCGGCCGGGGAGGCGGCGCGGGCTGCGGGCGGAGCGCCCGGCGAGCGGCGGCGCGGAGGCAGCGGCGGGAGGAGGAGCGGAGTGCGCCCGGCGCCGGGTCCTCGGGCCGCCGGCAGGGGGTGGGGACGGAAGGGGCGGAGGGCGGGGCCGGGCTTCTTCCCTGGTGCGTCCCGGTGCCGCCGCCGCCGCGCTCGCTCCCGGCGCCGCGTTAGGAGCGACCCGGCCGGGGATCCTGCGCGCCGGCGGCGTCAGCCCGGGAGGGAGCCCGCAGCCGGGCCGGAGCCGCCGCCGCCGCCGCGCCGCCCGCCACCTGTCCGGGCGCCCGGCCGGGCTCGGCCGCGGGCTCGCGCTCTGCGGGCTGCGGCGGCCCCGCGCCCACCGCCGGCCCCGCGCTCCTCCGGCCTCTCCTCGCCGCCGCCGCCGCCAGGCCGGGCACAGCGCGGCCCAGCCCAGCGCAGCGCGGCCCGCGGCCTGCGTGCGCCCCTCCGCGGCGCGCCCTCGGCTCCGCCCTCCGCCGGCCCAGCCGGGCAGCCGCCGCCGGCGCACGGGCCTCGCCGCGGGGCCTGGGGGCGGGCGCGGGACCGGGCGGGCGGCAGCCTCCGGCAGAGGGACGGGCGCGGGCGGAGCGGTGCGGCTCCGCGGGGCGGCGTGTGCGGCCGGCCGGCGGCGGGAGGGGGTTATAGCGCCGCCGCCGCCGCCGCGCCCCTCCCCGCCCCGCCCTCCGCCTCCCGGTTCCAGGCCGGACCCGCACCTCCGAGGCACGTGGGGGCCCGGAGCACCGAGAAGCACACGCTCCCGCGGGCGGGAAGCCCATCCACACCCCGCGCCCTCCCTCCCCTCCCGCGCCGCCGCGGGCCTGCGGCACCGGCCCGGGGAGGAGGGCGGAGGCCGGAGAAGCCGCTCGCCTCGGCCCAGCGGCGGCCGCGGGCAGCGCCGGAGCCGCGACGCCAAAAAGGGCAAAAGCAGCTGGGCCGGGCCCCCTCCTCCCGGCGCCATAAAAGGAGGGACCGCGCCGCGGAGGAGCGGGCGGGGTTCGTGCGCTGCGGGCGCTCACCTGGCGGCGGCCACGCGCCCGGGACCCGGCGCCCGCGGCGTCCGGATGCGGAGCCTCCACCCTCATCCCGAGGTGCGGGGCGCCCGGGGCTGCGGGATCCCCCAGGCCTCGCTCCTGCGTGGAAGGCCGGGACCTCGCGGGGAAGGGAGAGAGGGAGCCGCTCGTGGGGAACCCCGGAGAGATCGGACGGCGGATCGCGGGGCGCACAGAGCGCCCCCTCCCGCCCGGGCAGCACCCGCGGGGGCGGAGGCCTGTGCGCGGCCGGACCGCTCGCCTCCGGTGGGTGCGCCCGGGCCTGGAGGACTCGCCCTCCTGGACCAGGTGGGTCAGGTACCCGGCGTCGCCCGCCCGAGCTCATCCCTCGAGCGGGAGGCGAGGTCAGGACCAGAGCAAGCGGGGTGCGGAGCAAGCGACCCCAAAGCCAGGGCCCGGCCAGTTCGGGCGCCGCCCTGGCATGTCAGAGGCCGGTGCGGAGGGGCTTGGGGCGCTTGCCTTCCTCAGAAACGGGGTGGGGGGCCCTGTGGTTCCCAGGGAACCATGGTGGCCGTTCCTTCCAGAGGCCTCCACGCCCTGCGGCCTCCCCACAGCCTGGCCCTGCAGCCCCGCATCCTGGGGAGAGCGGGAGGGAGGCCTAGGCAGAAGCAGGGGAATTTGGAGACCACGAGGAGCACGTGAGAGCCAGCCCTTGTCTGTCCCTGAGGAACCTCCTATCGCTTCGCACAGAGACCCCTGGAAGCTTCTGGAAAGCAGGCAGACGCCGCCAGGCCTCTGGCTGGAGCCCGTGGAGCCGTCTGATGGCCACGCAGCTGGGAGTGGCCACAGCAGGCCGCTGAGACCCTGGTCTTGGGCAGGCAGGCCCGGGACATCCCCTCGGTTGGTACCAGGGGTGGGAACGAAGAAGGGGGCTCTGCACAGGATCCCTCCTGGGGGTCCCCGCCCCTGAGTGGCCTGGCACCTCAGGGACACCCTGTTCCAATGTGGGGCCAGCAGGGAGATCTGGGGGCACGGATACTCTCAGACCAGAGTGGGCAGGGGAGCAGGGCTAAGCCCGCCCCAGACTGGAAATCTTTGGGGGGAGCAGGCGGGCCCCCCTCCCTCCCTCTAACTCAAGCCGCTATTAAAAATAAAACCCGCTCGCGTCGTCATAGCGACCACAACAGCGGCTGTGGCTCCGTGAGGGTGGCGAAAACTTCCGCAGTCGCGCGACAGCCGCCGGGGGAGTTGGGGCACCACACGGGCCGCGGCACCAAGGCCTGCCCTGGGGCGGGACGGGGACCCCAGCACCCGGCCCTCCCGTCCTCAGAAGGAACCAACAGCAGCTGCTTGGAGAACTGGAAACGGAGGTGACTGGGAGCACCCTCCCGGACCTCGGTTCCTCCTCAGCACCCCTGTCCGGACCCCAGTACCTGGGGCTGGGGCTGGGGCTGTGGGATGCTTGGCTGAGGGGACCCCGCCTGCCCAGCCTGCCCCCCAGCCCCCGGCGCTCTCCACGGGCTAGGTGTGGTCGCGTGCTGTTTCCGCTTTCCCGGGAGCCGAGTCTCCCCCAGCCCGTGAGGTGCACACGGGTCACAGCAAACATTTGATAACGAAGCCAAACACTCGAGCAGGAGGAAGCCAGGCCCGGTTCCGGGTTCCGTGGGCAGGGACCCAGGAAAACTCGGGCCAAAGGTGTGTGTCGGGAGGGAGGCCGGGCAGAGAGACCTGGTGGAAGAGAGGGACAGGGTCCCCCCCTGGGGAGCAGCTGGTGGGAGGGAGGGTGCCCTGGGCAGGGAGTGCCCACCGCCTCCGGAGCCCAGCCCGTGCCCAAGGCGTCATTAGGGTGAGTCAGGTGCTCCAAATAGGTGGCGAGAGCCCCCGCACAGCTGAAGTGACTGACTGGGCACCCGCCCCAGGAGGCCCCTCCTGGCACCCGGGAGGGTCAGGACGGCCTGGTCCCCCTCAGAGCCAGGCAGGGCTGCAGGCAGGCAAGAGGCTTTTCTTCATTTTTAATATATTTTATTGATTTTTTTTACAGAGAAAAAGAGAGAGGGATAGAGAGTTAGAAACATCAATGAGAGAAACATCCATCAGCTGCCTCTTGCACACTCCCTACTGGGGATGTGCCCACAACCAAGGTACATGCCCTTGACCGGAATCGAACCTGGAACCTTTCAGTCCACAGACCAACGCTCTATCCACTGAGCCAAACTGGTTTGGGCAAGGGGCCTTTCTTAAGGGCTGTCAGAGCCCTGGCTGGTTTGGCTCAGTGGATAGAGCATCAGCCTGTGGACCGAACAGTCCTGAGTTCGATTGCAGTCACGGGGGTGCAGCTTGGTTGCAGGCTCTTCCCTGGTCAGGCGAGTGCAGGAGGCAGCCAGTCGATGTGTGTCAGATGGAGTGTCTGTCTTTCTTTCTCTCAGGAAGGTCAATGGGAAAATGTCCTCAGGTGAAGACTCAGAGAGCCTAGCACCACACGGTCACCCTGAACCCTACTTTTCAGACGGTCCAGGGCTGAGGAGGGATCCTCCCTGGGCACCAGCTCCCGTGGCCCCTGCTGCTCTGCCCAGACGGTGATGTGCCAAGGTCACTCGGGTGCCATTTGTCCTGCAGCCAAGGGGAGAGTTACCCACAATCCTGGGGCCCATGCCCACCTGATCCCTGGTCCAGAGGTGCCAGGGAAATGGGGAGGGGCACACCCAGGCCCCGCTGGGAGAGGGAGACCCTGCCTCTGCAGGGCACATGCCCCTGGGCACACAGGCCAGGCACAGCTGCCAGCACCCAGCTGGGCACCCAAACCCAGGCCCCCACCAGTGCCAGAGCGGATTTCGGAACAATTTGTCGTGATGAAACCCCTCGGTGCCCTGTGTCTCTCGGTTCAGGGCAATTAGCCCAGCAGCAGCTCAGCCGAGTGGGCACCGCTCCTTGAAGATCAAAAGTGCCTGGGCAGGCGCTAATTAACTCATCATCTCGGGGCCCCGGGCCCTGCGACTAGTCCAGGCTCCCCAGAAAGGGAGAAGCCGCCAGCAAGCAGGGAAGCCGATCTCGGGGTTGTTTTTAACTCCCTATTAATTATTTTCATTTTCAAAACTTACAAACAGACATGAAGTTTAAAATACCCCAGAATGCCTGATGGGCGTGGCTCAGGGGTTGAGTATCAGCCTATGGAGGAACCAGGAGTTCAGGGTTCGATTCCAGTCAGGGCTCCTGCGCAGGCAGTGGGCCGGATCCCCAGTAGCGGGTGTGCGGGAGGCAGCCGATCAATGATTCTCTCTCATCCTTGATGTTTCTCTCTCTCTCCCTCTCTCCCTTTCTGACATCAATAAAAATATCTATTTAAACCCAGAATTGATTTGTAACTATTTTGTGAATGAATCCATGTCACAGGCACTGGGTGGCCTCACCAGGCGAAGGCTGGGCCTGGACGGTGGGCATTGGGCACGGGGCTGCCCCAGGCGGGTGTGCTCCATAGGCAGAGCCCGCAGGCTTCGTAGGAAAGGAAAGAGCGTAACCCGTCTCAGTGATTTTTATGAATCACGTTAGGATGATGCCATGGAGTTAAATAAACTCTGATTGCAATTTCCAGTTTGGTTCTCCTGTTTGGTATGGCTCCTTGAAGGTCTACAGGGCCGTGCTGCTCGGATGCTCCCGCTGGACTGTGCACGTGTAGACACCCAGCGTGCACTCCCACACGGCAGAGCCCTGCGGGTGCGGGTGGAGGACGGGCAGAGCTGGGGTCTCATGTGCCCCCAGCGGCTGTGTAACCAGGAGCTGGTTAGCTCCGTGGAGCCCGGCGACCTCCCCAGGGGAACAGCCAGCTCATAGTGTTGCTTTTGGAAACACACCCTCGTTCCTTCCACAAACACCAC